AAAATAATATTTTTTCCAGATAAATAGAGAGAGATGTAAAGAAACTACGATAGATAGATAGATAGATAGATAGATAGATAGATAGATAGATAGATAGATAGATAGGAAGAGATGGAGGTGGATCAATAGATAGATGGATATGAACAGATGTGGATAGACAGACAGATATGAAGTGAAAACGACCGATTGATAGAGAGGTAGGTATGAATTGAGTGCTATTGACAGTGTGAAAGGTACTTAGGCTATCGATCGATCAATAGATTCATCGATAATGAGACTAATAGATGTAATCCAAGTGACTCTTAAATAAAAAAAGAAAGCAAGTATCTAGGAGATAATTAAACAGATGGAAACAGATCAAAAAGACAAAAGTGCAGATAAGTTTTCTTAAAATTAAAAAAGGAAAGCATAAAATGAAAACTATTACCTGAAGTGTTTTTATTCTCATCATTCTAAACATTTCATGACAGACAGGATAATTCGTCACAATGTTCAGCAACTGTAAAAAATAAAGAAAATGAAAAACTGTGAAATCTATAATTTACAAGAAGGCAAACATACATACATATATATATATATATACAACAGTACATGAGATTTGATTATAGTGGTGAAGGTTTCGTGCAGGACCATCCACACTTTTTGAGGGGCCGAATACAGAGACCTGGTGCACTACGTTCCACAAGGCCCCAAACGACCCTCCGCAGGTTTTGAATTCAGAGTTGTCCTTCTCCTAGACCAGTTGCCATCCAAGGCTATAGAACCCACTCTCTCCTGCTATTTACCCATAGCTGGAGGGAGAAGATGAGAATTCATACCTTTCCCAAGGGTATTAGCACGTAATATATATATATATATATATATATATATATATATATATATATATATATATATATATATAAACCTACCCAGCTTTCCCTGACGATCCGCTTAGGTGAAACCTGGGTAGGTTTGTCTGGCTCACTAGGTTTATCTAGGTCTGCCCTACGGTTGTATTGAGTTCTTTTGTTAGTTGTTTATTCGTATCGGGGTTTTTTCTTTGGGCTTCAAACCTGTATCTGTGCGATTTTTTTCGACAGACTTTCATGTTTCTAGCTCTTTCTTTTTTTAAAAACTTTTTTCCCTCGAGATTGATTTGATTATTGGCAAATCAAAAATTCGACGGTTTTACTTAGTGTATTGAGCCCTTTATGTAGTTATTTTTACTCGTTTTGGAGGGCTTTTATCTTTGGACTCTGACCTTGAATTCTGGACGATTGTTTTCACCCCAATTTCATGTTCTTAGTTCTTTCTTTTTTTATCCCTCATTTTCCTTGGACATTGGTTTGTGCAATCACAAGCCGAAATACCTAAGGTTTTCCCTGACGATTATACTTACTTATATTTATAAGATTATATATATATATATATATATATATATATATATATATATATATAGATAGATAGATAGATAGATAGATAGATAGATATATAACGATAAATATACAGATACATATGCAAACGAAATACCACTATCTATCTATCTATCTATCTATCTATATATATATATATATATATATATATATATATATATATATATATATATATATATATATATATATATATATATATACAAACAAACTAGCAGTATAACCCGACGTCTACGGGGTCTTTCATTACTACAATTTTGCAGTTCATTTGGAGCAGTTTCAGTTTAAAGTCACTATTAGTAAAAACATTTGGGTGCAACTGAGGCACATCCCCACCCACCAAATGGGCGGGGTAACAATTTGAATGTGGGGAGCTGAAAAGGGCCGTTTTTGCATTCTCAATCTTGCAAGGAAAGAGCCTCTTCCATGAACCTTCATAATAGTAATATACGATAATTTTTATTCATAATACTGTATTTTTTTTATAATTCCAATAATCTTTTGTGTTAGATACCAACTCTCTAAATTGATTGTACGCTGTTTTATGCAGACATTAAATATTGCGTTTGATTTGTGCACAAAGTGTAAAAAATCCTTTTTTGTTCTATTTTTCACCTTCAAAGTTGTAATTTTTTTCCAGCCAATTTGCACTCCAAACCGGCAATGAAGAATTATCTATATATATATATAAAAAAAAAGAAATTTCAACGACATCCGATCACACGCACATACATACACACACATTTTGAGAATTCTAGATATAGATATCTGGCTTAAAATACACTAGGATGTAAGCCAACAAAATCTTCTCTACTGTATTGACTACCAGTTCCTGATAATACCTGAATTTATTCATAATATTGACCTCGATGTCCATTCAAATATGTATCTATTTGAATGTTATCTGTAACTTCATGACACGTGACACGTATCTAACCAATAAGAAATAACCAAACACAACATACCATTAATCTGTGTCTCTGCTTTTTACCATTTTTTTATCATATCTAACGTTTATTAAGAGTTTTTTTACGAAGAGGGATGATTTTCGGAAAATGTTTATCAAACATTAACACCTTATATGTGAACAT